ATTTGTGGGATTGGTTCTCCTTTGTTTGGTTACAGATGGAACCCCCCCGGGTGTGCTGAACCTTTTTGACTCTAGCTGCTTTCGACAACCAAGGAAAAGGGGCAGGTGTGGAGAATAACAAGAGCAACCATCCTATGGTCTATTTGGGAAGAGAGAAACAATAGGATCTTCCTAGGGCAAGAAAAATCCAAGGAAGCACTTGTGGAGGTTGTCACCATCAAGGTTATGCACTGGCTGAAAGTACATCATCTCTTCAAGGACTTATCCTCAGCTGATTTAATTAGAAATCGGAGTTCTATAGCTGTATCCTCGCCTTCCTCCCTTGTGGTACAAGAATGTTGGGTACCACCGCCTCAGTTTAGGGTGAAGCTAAACTTTGATGGAAGCTCCTTGGGTAATCTAGGTCAGTTGGGAGTTGGGGGTGTGTATAGAAAAGAGGAAGGAAAAGTTTTGGCCCTTTACTCGGGCCCAATTGGGGTGGGAGATTCATGAAGGGCAGAAGTAATGGCCTTACTTCAAGGTTTGGAATTGGTGAAACAATGGGGAATGCAGCAATTTGAAGTGGAAGGAGATTCCAAGCTGGTAATAGGGTGGATCCAAGCTGGAAACTAGGGAGTGTGGTCTCTTAGGCAGGCTAATGCTATGGCTGGTTGTTTAGCCAAGCAAGGGCAACTAGGGAACAGTTGTTTTGGGCAGATTTGTAATCTCTCCATGGGTAATAGGGTGGATCCAAGCTGGAAACCAGGGAGTGTGGTCTCTTAGACAGGCTAATGCTATGGCTGGTTGTTTAGCCAAGCAAGGGCAACTAGGGAACAGTTGTTTTGGGCAGATTTGTAATCTCTCCATGGGTCTGTTGTAATTGTTATCTGCTATTATCCATATTCTCTAATAAAATTTCCTCATTTATCAAAGAAAAAGGCACGAACAGTTTCAATCACATGACGATTCTTCCTCTCTATTACCCCATTCTACTGTGGTGTGTGTGAGCAAGAGGACTGATGTATAATACTAGGAGAATCAAAGTAAGACTGAAATTGATTATGAAAATATTCTATTGCACTATTTGATTGAAACTCCTTGATGCATACACCAAATTGATTTCTTATCTCAACATCAAATATAGAAATATAGAGAACAATTCTGAACATTCTTTCATTAATTAAATCCTTGTCATTCTAGAATAATCATCAATAAAGGTTACAAAATATTTGAACCCATTATAAGAAGACACACAACTTGAACCTCAAACATTTGAATGAACTGAAGCAAAAGGACTTGAGACTCTCTTCGTCTTCTCTACGAAAGAAAGATGCTCAATGATGTTTAGTGAGTTGACATGATTCCTGCTCCAACTGTCACAAACTCTAAGGTAGAAACCAACAACTTAAAAACAGGCAAAGAAGGATGGTCAAGACGATAGTACCACTGATGTAAGGTAAGGGAAGTATGGAGAGCCTTTTATGGACCGTGATCTTCCAAATAGTCCTCCCACTTCACGGCTGCCACCAATCATTTTCCTTGTCTTGAGATCCTGAAACACACAATAAGAGGGGTAGAAAGTAACTGAGCAATGAAGAGCTTGTGTAAGTTTACTATTAGATAAGAGACCAAAGAGAAACTTAGGTATATAGAAGACAAAGTGTAAACTAAGGTCAGAACCAAGAGACACATTACCATTACCAGTAATGGAGGAAGAAGAGCCGTTAGCCAAAAGTAACGGTCTGGGATGTGGAGGGTGGAGACATAGGCACAAACAAGTCTGAGGAGCCAGTCATATGGTCTGAATTGGAGGCAAGGCAAGCTGTATCTAATTTTGCAAGGGTGGCAGTGGTGGTACCAGAAGTAGATTGGCAAAGCCTCTCATATTCTTCTCGTGTGGTGGAGGTTGTCTGTTTGTCCTTGTCAATACTGAGAGCAGACATTTGAGCATTCACGAACAGATCCACGTCCACCACCACCTCTAGCACCACCCCACCTCTAGCACAAGTGGATATTGGGCCATATAAGTCATAGCAGAAGTTAATTGTGTAACCTTCTTTACCACAATGTGAGCATTCACGAACAGATCCATGCCCACCACCCCTTATACCTCCTACTTCTCTTTCCCCACTACGACTACCTCTAGGCCCATGATCAGTACCTCTTGTAGCACCTCTATTTTGGCCCCTAGCCCCCTAATTCCTCAGCCTGCAAAACCTCTGGAAATTACTAAGATTGATCTCTCTGAGGTAGGAACGTTTTTTTTTTTTTTCGAAGAATCAATAAGAAATTTCATTAAAACAGAAAAAGGGTTACATCCTAACACCATTGGTTGTCTAGATGACACACCAGATACATTCTCAAGACTTCAAATTGAAAAGGATTCTTCATTACAAGGCTGTAAGTCAAGGGTATTCCAAAAGTTCTCCAGCAAATCAGCTTTGGAGACTGAGGACCCATTCTGAGATCAGATTGCTTACTGCAGCTACCATGTATTCTATACTTTTTGACCTGTTCTCAAAAACTCTTCTGTTTCTCTCCCTCCAAATAGACCAACATACTGCCAATGGGACACAACTCCAAATAATCCTGGCTTTCTTACTGCCTCTGAGCTTTGGCCACAATGAGAAAATCTCTACTGGATTTATTGGTTGGAAGGCGCTCATCCCAAATAGGTAGGAAAAGAACTTCCAAATGAAGCTTGCTATGCTGCATGAGAAGAACAAATGGAGGACTGTTTCTTCCTCCTGATTACATAAATACTACCAGCTGGTCAGATGAAATCCCCTAGATTTCAGGTGATCAGAGGTGAGAATGCTGTCATGTGCCACCAGCCAGGCGAAAGCTTCAACCCTTGGGGAACTGGGTTACCCCATACTCCTTTTATCTGGTCTGCACTCATTTCTTCTCTTACTAGTGCTTTGTATATTGACTTAACTGTGAATATGCCTTCCTTACATTCTTTCTATCAGAGACTATCTTTTGTATATCTAGAAATGCTGGTTCCTTCTATTTTTTCCAGAAGCATAATACACTCTTCCGCTTCTTGGTCTAATAGAGGCCTTCTGAATTTTGGATTCCAGATCAGTTGCTCCCCTCCACTCAAAGCATTGGGCTATTGAAACTTGTTCTGTTAACTTGTATAATCTTGGGCACACCTCACTTAACTTCCCTATCTCAAGCCACTCATCTTTCCAAAACCTCACTCTAGAGCCTTCCACCACTTTGAACTTGACTAAATTTCTGAATTCTTGATTGAAGTTCATGATTCCTTTCCTAACACTCACCCCATAGGAACTTCTTACTTCCCTTGATTCCCACCTGAATCTTATCACACCATATGTCCCACCCACCACCCTCGTCCATAGAGCCTCCCTCTCTCTCCCTTGCCCAAGCCTCCACAGCCATTTCTCTAGAAGTGCTTTGTTTATTAATTTTACCCTCTGAGGTAGGTAGGAACATGGTTGCCATGAGAAGTTGAAGCTCTCCTTATATAGGAGAAAACCTAAGATAAGGAGGGGAGGTCACTATTGCCCAAAATTTGAGCCCTCACTGGTTCAAACGTAGACCTCAAACCTGATAGAAATCTTGCTACATCAAGGTGCTCCCTCTGTTCTTGTTGCACCTTCAAGTCAATGGACAGGGGCTGATAGACATTAAGCTCATATCTCAAGTTCTTCAATGAAGCATAATACTCAACACTTTTATCCCCTTGTTGGAGAGAAAAATAATCCTGGTATGGCTGATATATTCTTGTGACATTATCTTGCCTAGAGTATAATTGCTTAGCATGGTCCCAAATCTCCTTAGCTGTATCAAGGAACATAAGATTCATGCTGATGTGGTTCTCCATGTTATTCCATTCCATAAGTCATGATTTAGGGTTGGTCATTCTCTTGTAGCCATTCATTATATCCTTCTGGTCCATTCTTCAACGGACTCTCCTTAATGTACTTCAACTTACCTCTTCCAATAAGAGATACCTCAACTGACTTAGCCCATGGTCTATAGTTGGTACCATTGAGTTTTACTGTGGTCAACTGTGAATTCATTAGGTTTGATTGCACCCCCACTGCTGGTTTAGGATTGTCACTTGATGAGGCCATGGGAAAGTGAAAAAAAGGATCACTACTCTTTTCTTGAACACAAAGGGAGCTTCACACACTTACCAATAGTCCACCAACACACCACAATCTACTACTCACTCCACCACATTGAAGACTAAACACAGCTGCACCTATGACATCTTCAAAGCCCTCTTTTCCAGTGGGGCAATCAGTCCTTCTTGGCTCCTTCTTCCACCTATAAATAGTAGAGGACGTTTTCTACTTTCTAGCTCACAGTGAAGGGTGTTAATAGCAGTCGACTGTTAGCAGTAGCAGTTGACTGTTAACAGTAGCAGTCAACTGTTTTAATGAGCAATTGGTTCTGATACCATGTTCAACATGTAAGGAAAGGAATTGGGAGAAAAGGAGAGAAGAGATAGGAAGAAAGGGAGGAGAAGTCAAGAGAATGATCTATCTCTCTTGACAGCCGACCCTTTATATACTTCTATTCATTACTGTAAAAAGTTACAACTGGTTGATTGTTAACAATACTGGTCAACTGTTGACACTAACAGTTGACAAGCAATAGTAGAAACAATAGGAAAAACAATAAAACTACTTTAACACCCTTTATGATGGGATCTTGCACCTTAAATTCACACCATATTTACTCCTTGGGAATCTTTTCCTTACCAAGTTATCTTTGCAGCCATCAATTTTCTCATAGGGGAGTTTGAGAGTTCCTCCTTCCCCACCTTTGATCTATGGATATCATATTTTTATACTGTTTTTACCATTTGAACAAGAGATTGTGTTCTTCAGGTCTTGGACTATGTTTTTTTGTATATCAGTAGTTACATTGTGTTTGATGGTTTGAATACAAAATTTTGATGTCTATGGTTTTCCATTTAATTTCAGAATTGTTTCTATAGATCCTGGACACTAATGTGTTTCCAATTAACAATGTTGCAACAGCCATTGCTTTGCATGAAGACTTTTTGCAAGGCAGGATGAATGACGCATTTGATGGACAGATATTGGCTGAGAAGCTTTCTAAACTCAACAATTCACAACAAAGCATTGAAAGTATCCTTTATTCATAGCAAGATTTTTTATTTTATTTAGAGCCACAGTGGACTTTACGAGAGTTGTTAGTTCCATTTGTGGATGTTCTCTTTAATTAGAGTAAAATTCCAACTCTGATGTAGTTAGATATTGTTGAAGAAATCATTCTCTAAAATTTAATATGCTGGTAGTGGAACTGAGGAAATGGAAGTTACTGGTTAACCACAAATAAAAAAAAAACTACTGCACATATCATTGCAGTTTTACATGTGCATTTATTCCTCTAGCCACTTCATATTTTACCATTCCCTACATAATATCTTATTAATATTTTAAACTTTTAAATGAGCTATTTATGCCAGATGCATATAAATTGCACATATAATTGCATTTTTAGTATGAAAAGAAAAAGTTTTAAGTGGCTGACTAGGGACATTGAGGTGAAACACAGTTGGGTAAAGAGAACTGCTAACTCACTTGCTGATGGGTTAGCCAAGCAAGGGGTGAATAGGGGATCTTTCTTTTGAGTTCATTTCTAATTTTGTATCCTTTGTTTTGCTCTAATGGGGGAGTTAAGAAAGTTTACCTCCCCCCTCTTTTGTAATTAAAGTTTCTTATTCTTAATAAATTCTGCCGTTACTGATAAAAAAAATGCATTTTTAGTCCACATGTTTTTTGAATTTTTACTCTCATCTTATGCAGGTTAAAATTGAATGCTGAAGATCTGTATTTTTTTTCTTGTTAAGGGCAATGCTCATGGCTATTTTCTCTTGTTGAGTCAATATAACATCTATGTTCTTCCTCAGTTTTCCATTGAAAAGTTTACTTGCTTCAAAAGGGCTTATTTCATTTCTTACAGGTCCAAGTTTCGAGATAGAAAGGTATTGTGTTATTGTACTTCTAGGATAATTGAAGCCTTCCCAAAGGGATATAATTAGTATTATGATTTACTGAATGAGATGTTGGTTTCATCCAGCCTCCGATGTACTAATGGTTAAACAAGCTATGGATACTTAGAGGATTACATTGTATGCTATTGCAGTCTGTTTATGATAGAATTCCTGAGTTTAGAATCAGGATTTACACTATTTTCAGTTGATTTAAATTATGTTTTGGGAGTAGTTGTAGGATAGTGTGGGGGTTCTTCTATGAAAGCAGCTAGAGTAGTGTAAGTACAGGAGTCTTTTGGGGTGGTGATGTAGTTCAACCTTCCACAACGGTAGAAGATTCAGAATAACGGTTTCTGAGAAATTTGAGCATTCCAAAATTGCGAAAGCATATGAAAGGAGGAAGAATCAATAGCTACAGAAAACTTTGGAAGCTGACATTTTCTTTACAATTGTTTCCTTTTATGCCGACTAGAAGGTTTCTGTTAGTAGTTGCATAGTTTAGCAGCTTTCTATGTTATTTAGGAAACTATTAGGCAACCACTTTTTATAAGAGTTTCTATGTTCGAAATTTCTATTTAGTTGGTTTCCTTTTCTGGGAATCTTGGTAGTTTCTAAGTGGAATCCTGCAAGAGGTATACATGGCACCTTTTGGGTCCTCAACCATATTGCTATTGTAGAATTTTTGTAGTTATTTTGTACTCCTTCACCAAATAACCCAACCAACAATCCTAGTATATTTAAATGTGAAACTTGATTTATTTATCTTCCAGTCATTATATGTCTCGGCTGCCTGTTGCTACCTATTGCTTTTATTTGTTTGCTTGTGTATAGTTGTTTATTGTTTATTGTTGAAAGGTTAGAACCATATCCAGTCTACCCCTCCCAAGACCCCTAGATAGCTGGGACCAAGATTGGGTAGTGGCCTTTTAGTAACTTTTCTTTAAACAATTGTCATGTTTTCAAAATGCCTGGGTTTGATAAAGCAGTTTTGAGGTATTATATGTCTGCTTTTTCTGAATCGCTCTTTGATACAAGGTGTGTTTTGTTGAATTCATTTTTCTTAACATTGCACCACAAGGTGTATTTTGTTGTATGCCTTTTTCTTAACATTACACCAGCATTATCACATTGGTGTATTTTTCACCGGAAGAAAGCCAAACAGGTTGTTGAGACATGGGATAAATTTTTCAAGTCTGCTCAAAAAGAGCAACGTGTTTCTTTTCTGTATTTGGCAAACGATATCCTACAGAATAGTAGAAGAAAAGGAAGTGAGTTTGTGAATGAATTCTGGAAAGTCCTTCCTGCTGCTCTCAAGGATGTTTATGAGAATGGTGATGACTATGGGAAAAAAGCTGTGTCTAGGCTGGTAAGTATTTTTGTCATTGGCAGGGGTGTAATTCATTTTTCTTTGGATTGTAATGTATAATTGTGTATAAAGAGGACAAGAGTAATTGTACCATTTGTAGTTATTCTGATCATTTTATTTTCCTTCCATTGGAGTTTTCAAATGACTACTGTATGTGTGTAAAATTTCTTAGTTGCATAATGAGTCTTGGGTGTGGATATGACTGAATACATCAATGTTTTAAAACCTGACCTGGAGGTGAATCTGGTTTTCTGACTGGGTGACAGCTCACTGGTTCAACTAAAAAAGGGCGGCCTAGTGAACAAGGCTCCACCAATGCGGGGTCTAGCCTCTGTATCATTTTATCTGAGCCTTTATAGAAGCTAATTGAGAGAAAGGAGGAAGAGGAGGGACACTACCACCACTGCCACTACTGCCAGTATTCTCTCTCTTGATCAATGGATTCTTCTAGATCTCTCTGTCATTCTTTAAAGCTGAATCCCTCCAGATTCCCTCTCTGTCATTCTTTGTGTTGTGGCAATCTGTCTCTTGCTTCCAATTCTCAATAGTATAATGTAATTAATTTATTTTCCTTGAACCATTAAAAAATAGGTTGGACTGACCGACTGGGTCGACAAGGGTTGCAAACACTCTTGCTTCCAATTCTCAATAGTTGCACAGACTTGTATATAACCTTTTTGTGTAGCTCCTTAGTTGTGTATTGAAAATTAAAAAATGTAGTTAGCTTTGCCATCTTAGACATATTTGTTTCTGACAAAATAATGTAGGATGAAAGGAGAAAGTCCTACAAATTAGATATTTGATGGGCTAAAATTAGTAGTGATATAATTTTATTTTGATGAGCAACTGAAAACTTATATTAATTAATTAAAGTAAGAATGTGCATCACAAAGGGAAGCTATACAGCTTATAATCTTCCCCATTACATCATTTCAGAGGTAGGCGAGGGAGAGGATGAACAACTGTTTAGATCAAATGAAGCTAGTTAAGAAAATATTGGATCTGGTTAAAGTTGTTGAGACAGAAGTGCAGGTTAGCAAAATTCTGGACTTCCACTTTTTGGGAGGAGAAGACTTTTCTAGAAAAGTTTTTATGGAGGTGGAAAGGGTGAGAAAAATTAATCAGTTTTCTTTTGGCAGTGAGGTGGGGGGCTTTTGTTTAAGGTGTGGTTTTAGTTGGGGTGGTAGGGGTTCTAAAACTTGAGGTTAAGGTTTTTGCTGGCTGTTGGATGGCTTTCAGGTTGGAAGGTTGTTGTTTTGGCCATTTTATTTTTCTCGCTCTTGTTTTGTAAGGAAAGGCTCTCTTGTGAAGGTTTCTTCTTGTTTTTTGGAATTTGGGGGGTGGGAAGGTTTTGTAATTTTTTGCTTCTTCAAGGTGATTGATCGTCACCTGCATTTGTATCTTGCTTGCTCTTTTCCTAATAAATTTTAAAAAAGTTATTTCTACTATCCGGTTGTTTTGCAAGATGATCAGCCAAAGTATTTGCTGAAGACTGCAGCCATTGTATAGTTACTTGCATATTCATTGTGAACCACTTGAATTTCTTTATTTCATTCTTGTAGACCCAGAATGTCTTACCCTTCCTCAACAGCCAGCTTATTACCACTTATGAATCTCCTTCAATTTCAAAATTTCCACCCCTATTTTCATAGCCTTCTTTATCCCATGGTGCAGTCATCAACTCTGCCCTCATTGAGTTTCCTTCACCTACCAGCCCTGCGAACATTGCATGCATTGCTCCATTTTCAATTCATAACCATAAGAGTGGCATATTTGGGTATGACCTTGAAACTCTTAACGGACTTTAATGTAGAAGGCTTCTTCAGATTTTGGGGAGCAATAGCTGGGTCTTCCTCTAGAAGACAAAAATTCAATGTGGATTGGTCACCCCCAACTAGTGGCTAGATGAAGTTGAATTTTGATGGCAGTAGTGTGGGTCATCCGGCTCTCTCAGGAATTGAGGGTAATTAGGGATGAGCAAGGTAATATGCATGCACTGTATTCAGGCCCAATTGATCAAGTTGATGCAGTTATAGCAGAATTCTTAGCAGTAGTTTTTGGGGTTGAAAGTGCAATGAAATGGGCATTGGAAATTGATCAATGAAGTTGACTTGAAAGTAGTTGTGGGATGGTTGCAAAAGGGGGGAGGGGTGATTTGGCACCTAAGGAATGATTTCAGATGCTTCAAATGGCTCTTGGAAGATATGATTATTCAAATTAATTGGGTTAGAAGATCTGCAAATAGTTCGGCAGATGGCCTAGCCAAGCAAGGGGTTTAGGGACAGCTTATGTATTGGGCACTATTGTAATCTTTTGGGTGGTTTTTGATTGTTTTAGGTTTTCTGTTTTTTTCACAACTCCTTGTTGTATTGCCCTCTTTTAATATCTAATGAATTACTCTTTTTTCTGAGTTACTGATCAACACAAAAAAAAAAGAAATCTACGGAGTCTTGGACTTAAATATATGTCTGGCATGAACATGTCCATTTAAGAGAGTCCACAGAACACTCATCTCAAATGTGTTCCTTGAATTTATATATAATTTGAGAATGTCATTATTAGGACAATGATTCTAATGCAACCCTAAGCTGCATGTAATAACATATGCTGTAAATAAGTGGTGTTGGAAGTTATAGTCTTTTGGGTTGGGATTAGGGTGTTGATATGCTTTTGGTCCAATTATGCTTTTCATTTTTGGGTAAATTATCGGGAATCCCCTTGTATTTTGGGGTTGTGATACTTAGCTGCCTATATTTTATTTTATTTATTTTTTGTGACACTTAGCCCCTTGTATTTTTGTAAAATTTCAAACTCTGTGATTGTGTTAAAAGTAATTATGGAATTACATAATTTCCCTTATGACTTTTGTATGCTTTTAAAGGAAAAAATGGAGACTGGGTAATGTTTGATGTTGGTTAATGAAAGGCATCATATATTCTTACAAAGGAAAACTCTGATACGCCATTTAGATGACTCAAATCATCATCATCATCATCTAAGCCTTGTTCCAACCATATGGGATCAGCTACATAAATCCTGGTTTGCTAAGAGTTCAGCAAAAGTTGTAAATGCTGTCTGCCAACCTGTCACAATCACAGCGCTCCTTTATCCAAGCTTGGGACTGGCAGTGTATGACAACACCAGTGGGGTTATTTAGATGGCTCAAATCTATTGATTTATTTTTGTCTTCCACTTTGGCAAGCCAGATCTTTAATTTAATTTGGTACTTCACTTGGGTGGGTGAGACCAAACAATTTCTCCAGGAGATCACTTTGGTGGCCTTGATTTTTTGGGTTGATTTGGTACATTATTTGGACACCCTAGACTGATTGAATTCTTGGTGTTATTTGGGTGGTTGAGATGGATCTATTAATCTTAGGAGACTGCTTTAATGTCTAGATGTATTGATTTGGTTCCTCATCTGGATGGGATAAATTAGTTGAAAGCTTGGTGCATACTTTGGATGTATATGATCATGATTTGCAATATCTGCAAGATTTGGTGAAGTTTCTCCATTTTTCTAGGTGGCGATATGAAATTTTCCAAGAATCTTTTATTCCTAATATCTTTGATCTTTTTCCAATATGTTGGCATTGTTTCAGATTTCACTGATAGACTAATACATTTAAGGTTTTACGTTTTATAATATTATTAGAAACTTTTTGATATTTCATTAAAAATATCATAGTTTTCTGAAAATCATTTTTCTAAAAGAACAAATAGGGATTTAGTGATTTGATAATTGGCTTACTACTTTGATATGATTCACATATTAAGTTATCATACTTCAAAAGAAAAATAAAAAAAGGCAAATGACTATAAATAAAAAAAGTGGATTCTCAATCCAATTAAAATGCATAAAGACAAAGGTCAAAATGGCAAGTAAATGACACAAATAATGAAGAGAAGATGGCTAAAAGGCTAAAAGAGAGAGCAAGGTACCTATGTAAGTGTCTTAATCTTCTCTTATATGATTTATACAATTATTTGCTATGGTTTTTTGAGCCTTAAATGCGCAATTGTACTTCTTTTAACAATCGTGATTTCAAATGTCCAAATATTTCCTGATATTTCCACGACACATTTCCATTTCCATTCCCATGGGTACCAACACAAAATATTGCTGCGATTGACAAAATATTGCTGCAATGTTATTGCCCACCTAATGGACATGATTACCACTTTGAGCAAGCTTGAATTTTTTTTCAAACACGAGGCTGTTCTTGTTTTTATTGTATAATAAATTATTGGGTTGATCTATTAGAATCATTTGCGTGACCCCTGTGACTTGACAGACTGACTAACACAAACACAACTGCCATCAAACTGAAGAATGTTCTCCAAAGGGGCTCTTGGGCCCAGGTTAACATTGTTAGCAGTAGCCATTTGAAGGACCCATAACCTGCCCTAGGTTTCTCTCTAAATCTTCTAACAAGATGCCTCTGAACTGCTTTGTAGCTAACGTCCAAGAATTGACTCAGAAAATGATTTTTTTTTAGTAAATCTTTGTGAGAGGGCAGAGAAATTAGTGAAATATCCTCAAAATTCCCCCATCTCTGCTTGGTGAAATGTCCGTTGATATCAAAATTGTTAACCATGGAATATATGATTAGTTGGCTGACCTTTTTGACGGTGCAGATGTTTGGGTTACTTTGTACATCATTATTTATCTATCTATCAACATTTGGATGGTTGGGATTAGTTGATTGATCGTGGGGTGTCATTTTGATGACCCAGCTTTTGGGTGTTGCTTGGTATATCATTTTATTTGACAGATTTTTTTATAGAAAATTTGGTGCGTTGCTTGAATGGCCAAGTGTAGTTGAAATCTTGGTATATCGCTTGGATGGCCTAGATTAATTCTTAGCTCTTAGGAGACATTTTGATAGCCTATATTTTTGTGTTGATCTGGTACATTTACGATGCCCTAGAGTTGCTGAACCTTAGTAGATCATTTGGATGGTTTGAGGTTAGTGCACTGAATCACTGATCCTAATAGACCACTTTGTTAGCCTGAATCCTTGGGTTAATTTTCTACACCATTTACATGGCTTGTATTTTTTGAAAATTTGATTGTTTGATGTCATTTACTATACCACTTCTATGGCCTAGATTACGCATTAACATCATCACTCAGATTTTCAATATCAGTTGATTGATCTTGAGCATGAGTCAAATGGTCTAGATCTTTAGTTAGAAAATCTTTATTAGAAATATCTCTTTCAGTAATATGAAATGGGTAAAAAGAAAAATTTTTCTCTAATGTAATATAAGGGCATTTTAAGATTTTAAAAACATCCGAAAATGCACATGAGATGCAAATGGGTAATACTGTTAACTCCTTTGACAGAATAGTGATGGAAGGGGTTATTTGTTGTGATAAGAAGGTATAAGTAGCTGAGTGTTGCAAAGAATAGTACAGGGGACTGTCAGACCCCCTAATGTACATTGGGGGTCAATGTAATTTAACTTTCTTTTTCTTTCCAAGGAGCGAGTTGATTGATGGGTGGGAGTTGTTCTGGTTAGTTTGTTCGGTAAGGAGATGCCTTTATTGATGATTGTATGCAACTTGTATGGAGCATGGGGGTTGGCAGGGTGTGGTTCCTTTTTGTTTTGCCAGTTGTTTCTCCATATCTTTTTTTTTTTCTCCAGTCTATTGCTTGGGCCACAAAGCCTGTCTATGAATTGTATATTCTTTTTTCTATTTGATACTTTTTGCCTTACTAGTTACTATCTAGGAAACAGAAACATGCTTTGAACAATGAGTGGTACTAGGCTTGTGATTCTTACTTTTCAATTTAACAGATGGAATGTGTGTTCCAGTCTATTGCTTGGGCCACAAAACCTGTTTGTGAATTGTATGTTCTTTTTTCTATTTGATACTTTTTGCCTTACTAGTTACTATCTAGGAAATAGAAATATGCTATTATAATCTAATCTGCTCTTGAATTCTGTTAGAATAAGGACTGTAGAAGTAAGAAAGATGAGAAGATAAGAAAATAGAGGAGAATTCTAGTTCGAACAAGAGAGAATAATACATCTCTCTAGTCGGCCAGGTTTAATTTATATGTTTCTATTCAAGAACAAAAAGATTCCTTTGTCCCTACTTAAGTAAGGGACACAACTACTAATAGAACATTACACATCAACAACTTAAACATAAATATAAAGACTAAAATACCCCTACACAATCGACATTAACACTCCCCTTCAAGCTGGTGAGTATATATTATATAGTCCCATCTTGTTACATATGTAGTCCACTCTCCCCCGACTCAACCCTTTGGTGAACAGGTCTGCCCATTGGTTTCCTGTGTTAACATATGCAGTATCTATCACTCCACTCAGCACCTTCTCTCTCACAAAGTGACAATCAACTTCTAATGCTTGGTTCTCTCATGAAACACTGGATTAGAAGAGATATGGATTGCAACTTGATTGTCACAATAGAGCTTCATTGGAGTGTCAATAGATATCCCATCTCTTGTAGAAGATTTTTTTTTTTTTTTGATATCAATCTCTTGTAAAAGATTTCTCAGCCACACTAATTCACAAGTAGTATGTGCCATAGATCTATATTCTGCCTCTGCACTGGTTCTTGCCACAATTGTCTGTTTCTTACTTTTCCATGTCACCAGATTACCCCCAAGGAAAGTATAATAGCCTGTAGTGGATCTCTTGTCAGATATAGAACCAACCCAATCAGCATCAGTATATCCTTCTATTTCAAGTTTTCCTCCACTTCTATATATCAAGCCACTTCCCGGAGCCCTCTTTAAATACCTTACAATCCTTAGACTTGCATCCCAATGTGGAACCCAAGGTTTCTGCATGAACTGACTTACCACACTAACCACAAATGAAATATCTGGCCCAGTAATGGTTAGGTAGTTTAACCCACCAACCGCCTGTACCTTCCAGGATCTTCAAATTCTTCACCCATATCATTGCTTAACTTAGTATTTGATTCCATAGGTGTTTCATCTAGTTTGGTGCCTAACAATCCCATTTCTTCCAATAAATCAAGAATATATTTCCTCCGGCACAAAATAATACCATGCTTAGACCTTGCTACTTCTATCCCCAAGAAATACTTTAGTTTACCAAGGTCCTTTGTCTGAAAGTGTTCCTACAGAAAGATCTTCAACCTATCAATTCCCAATCTATCATTCCCAGTACTGACAATATCATCTACATATACCACCAATAGGACCTTTCCAGCCTGAGAGTCATGACTGAAGACTGATTGATCAACCTGGCATTGTTTCATACCAAACTTCTTTACCACCTTATTGAACCTACCAAACCACGCACGGGGAGACTGTTTAAGTCCATAAATGGCCTTCTTTAGTCTGCACACCTTACCATCCTCCTCCTGAGCAACAAACCCCAGTGGTTGCTCCATATAGACTTTCTCAAGTAGATCACCATGTAAGAAAGCATTCTTGATGTCAAGCTGAAAGAGAGGCCAATCATACATAGCAGCTAGAGCTATCACAACATGAACTGAACCAATCTTAGCAACCAGAGAGAAGGTCTCCGTGTAGTCAATACCATATGTTTGGGAGTGCCCTTTGGCAACCAGTCTAATTTTTAACCGCTCTACACTACCATCAGGTAAATACCTAACAATGTATACCCACTTACAATCAACAACCTGCTTACCAGGAGGAAGTGTGGTGAGGTCCCATGTATGATTATGAGCTAGAGTAGAGAGTTCTTCCATTGCATGGCGCCACCCTGGAGAGGCAAGAGCTTCCTAGACATCCGTAGGAACAACAATAGAGGATAATGAGGAGATAAACTAGCGATGGGAAGCAGAAAGGTGAGTGAGAGAAACATAATTAGAAATAGGATGAAGGGTGCAACTGTGTTTACCTTTCCGCAAGACAACGGGAAGATCAAGTTCAGAAACTGGGGTTGGGGCTGGTGTGGGAACAATTGCTGGACCTGTCGACGATGATGGAGCTGGAGGAGTTGGTACATGTTGGCGATGTGTATACACTTGACGAATAGGTGGCGGTTCAACGAGAGGTGGCACCGGAGGCAAAGACTTGGTCACAACTGGAACCAGTGGAATGGGATCCGCAACTAGAACTGGAAGAGGAGGAGGAGGTGGGGAAGAAGAAATATCACCTGACCCCGAGAAAAACGGAGCGGACTCAAAGAAAGTAACATCAACACACACAAAGGAACGCCGAGAACTAGGATTATAACACTTATACCCTTTCTGAGTCCGGGAATAGCCAAGGAAGATACACTTAATGGATCGGACATCTAACTTGTCCCTTCCCAATCCTAGATTATGAACAAAACAGACACACCCAAAAACCTGAGGAGAAAGGGGAAACGGAGACAAGGTAGGAAACAAAGTGGTGAAAGGAGAATGATCATCAAGGATGGACGTGGGCATCCGGTTAATTAGAAAGCAAGATGTAAGCGCAACATCACTCCAAAAAGGTTTGGGTACATTCATATGGTGCATAAGGGATCGAACAGTTTCCAAAATGTGACAATTCTTTCTCTTAGCTACCCCATTTTGTTGTGGGGTGGGTACATTCATGAATTGTATATTCTTTTTTCTATTTGATATGTTTTGCCTTACTAGTTACTATCTAGTAAACAGAAACATGCTTTGAACAAGGCGTGGTACTAGGCTTGTGAATCTTACTTTTCAATTTAACAGATGGAATGCATTATTAGATTTGTATGCTAGTTAAACTTATTTGTTGGGCCAAAATTCCAGGTAGACATATGGGAAGAAAGGAAAGTTTTTGGATCTCGTGGTCGAAATCTTAAAGATGAAATGTTGGGTAAAAACCCTCCTCTATTTGACAACAATGGAAAAAGCTCGAATCCCATCAAGATAGTGAGGAAGGATGCCCACTCAGTCAGAATAGTAAGAATTTTCTCTGAATTTGATTTCTTATAATTTACTTGTTTTTGCATTTTCATTTAATCAACATATATTTTGTTTTGATTTTTAATTGACATCTTTATTTTGTTTGTTTTCAATTGGGAAAGTTTGATGTATCTAATGTGTGGCCTTCCTGAATACAGAAATTGGCTGTTGGAGGTATGCCTGAAAAAATAGTTACTGCATTTCAATCTGTACATGATGAACATTTCAAAGAAGACACTGCTTTGAACAAATGTAAGGCTGCTATTCATCGTGTGGGGAAAATGGAGAAAGATGTTGAACATGCTTCTACTCAAGGTAGAATTGTGCATGTATGTTATGTATGTGGTTTCTGTGAAATGTATCTTTTACTGCCATTTTATAATGGCAACCTGTGATGAGAAATCATGTTCTTGGATTAAGTTTTCCATTTTAACAAGAGTCTATGGTTGAAGCCTTGAAGGAAACTCTGTTTTGTGCATAATTAAGAAACACTTGTGAATTAGCTTCATGGAAATGATTTTTTTTTGATAGATAAAATGAGATTTATTAATCAAAATATTATCCTGTACAAACATCACTGGGAGAGACATGAGATGCGACCTCTCCCCTCATAATAATAACAAAATCAGCTTACAAATGAGCCCAATACAACATATCCCTATTGACCCCTTGCTTAGCTAAGGTATTCATTAATGCATTAGCAGTCCTCACCCAATTTATTCTCAAAATCATGTTTCTTGTTAGCCATTTGAATTTTCTAATTTCATTTATGTAGCTCCAAGTCATAGATTCTGAATCTCTTAACTACCTCACTACCACTATAGTATCACCTTCAGTCATCAAATTATCCATGTTCAGCTCGTTGGCGATTTCAATTCTTGCAAAGCTGCTAACAGTTTAGCTCTAGTTGAGTTCCCCTTTTCCACTTGTCCTGAGAAAAGGGCAAGGATATGTCCTTCCTTATCCCTTATACCCCCCCCCAAACTCTTTAAGGGCCTGGATTGCCTTGACTGCTTCCAACAAAATTAAGTTTTACAAAACCATCTGGATGGGGCTACCAATCTATAACTGCTTTTTCCTTCCTAAGGGAACTCTTGCACCTAAATCCAGTTCCTCCAAAGTCATCAAAGGAGAACAATGAGAAATTATTGTCTATCAAAAAAAAAAAAAGAAAAAAACAATGAGAAATTATTCAAGGTTTTTAACCAATGGATTCTCTTGTTAAAATGTATTCTTTAACCATTTCCAAACTTATTTCCTTTTCTAGGAAAGTTCTAGAATTTCTTTCTTCCTAATGGTCCAAACTGAAGCTACTCTTATACATCTCCACATAGTTCTTCCTTGTTTCTTCGGCCATAAAAAAGGTAGAAGGATCAAAGAAATGATTTACCTTTGTTGGCAAGGTCCACCTGCACCCAAATAAAGAAAGTAACTGTTCAGATTCCTTGGAAAGTCAGGACTTTAGTAAGGCAAGTTCAATCTTTTTTTTTTGATCAGTAAGGCAAGTTCAATCTTTAGGTGCCTCCCAAATAAAGAATGCCTCATTCAGGTGGACACCAAGAAGCTCCAATAGGCTGGCTGACTTTTTTGGCAAGAGCAGGTTGTAGGTAGGGAAAGTCTAGTTTGGGGATGCCCTGGGCCGGGTGGGCAGTTGTAATTTGTAATTTTGTTTCTGAGCTTTGTCTCTTGTTTTGGTTTTCCTTCTTATTTGGTTGTTTGTGGTCTTCTGTTGTAATTTGATTTTCAGTTACTGACCAAAAAAAAAAAAAAGAAAGAAAAAACACATTTGGGATGTGGAAACCAAACTCTACTGTCCTGCTTAGGAGAGTCCAAGCAGACATTATCAAGTAAACACAAAAGGTTAGCCACAGTTTCCTGCAAATATTGATTAAAGAAAGAAGAATAACAATTTAAAAAATTTAACAAAGTCAACTAGGCACTGCATCCCCTAGGCAGGTCCTAGAAGAGGCATGAGCATGGGTTTAAAAGTAGATTTGAACTTTTAAGTATCAAAATATAGATACAGCACTATACATCACTATGCATATAACAGAGCAGCCAGCCCAGCCCCCTTGCATATAGATCATTGTGGCATGAACTCAGAATTTCCTCGCTTCGATTCYGTCCGAATTAGCTCCTCCTCCTCCTACAAGATTGTTGTTGTTCCTCTATAGGACCATCACCTTATTTGGCCAGATTTTCCAGTCTTTTCACAATTACAGTTCACTGTGTGCATAGGCGCCACACAATCTAGAATGCAAGCGCATGTAGGCGTCGCCCAATACTTGCTGCTGAAAAACGTAATAGGCCAGTGCGGCTCACTTCACTCTAAAAGCGGAGCTCGCTGCTTGACTTGACTAAGCCCTGTTTAGGTATCCTTGATCCCAAACCCGTTTAGCTTTTCCTCCCAATTGCCCAAACCCACTCCCTCCCAAACCCTTTTAACCCGTCCCGACTCGTCCCACTTGATTATTATTTGGCATATCCTATTATTGTTATCCTTTTTCAAATTTAAAATCCAAATTTAATTACCTTAATTAATACCCATTATCTCTGGAAAATGGCAGAAGAAAGAAAAATACCATTCACAGTGTGGAGGTGGAGGGTTAGGAGATAATAAGGATCTTTGTAAATCATTTTAAAGCCTTTTTGCAGGCCCAATCGGTGGAAGTACAAGCCTACCAGATTTGGATTAGAATAGAGTGATAGTGAACCAAGCACAATTATTGGAAAGGAGATTTTCATTGGAAGAGATTAAGGAATCATTTTTCTCGATGGAGAGATCAAAAGCCCTAGGCTCATATGGTTATTCAATGGGGCTTTCTACCAGGAATGTTGGGATTTTTTGAAAACAAATCTCTTCTTTAATGAATTTTTCCACAAAGGGGGGGATCCCCCTTGGGGTAAATGCCACTTTTATTGCCTTGATCCCAAAAAAGAATGGGGCAAAAACCCCAAAAGACTATAGACCAATAAGCCTAATTGGAATTTTTTATAAAATCATCTCAAAGGTCTTGTCTGAGAGGTTGAAAATGGTCCTTCCTCGGTGATCTCTCCTTTTCAAGGGGTTTTTGTGGAAGATAGATTGTTGATCAAATTTTGGTGGCTAATGAATGCGTGGTGAAAAGAGGAAAAGTAGAGAGAAATGTCTGGTTTGCAAGGTGGATTTAGAGAAAGCCTATGACCTAGTGGTTTGGTAAGTGTTGTTGGAAGCCCTAGAGAAATTCGAGTTTGGGCCAAAGTGGAGAAAGTGGATCAAGGGGTGTGTTAGCTTAGTTCATTACTCAATTCTTATTAATGGAGTGGCAAAAGATTTCTTCCTAGCCAAATGTGGTTTAAGACAAGGAGATCCACTGTCCCCTTTTCTTTTCACTATACTGGTAGAGGTTCTAAGTAGATTGGTGGTAAAAGTAAACCTACAGGGTTTGAATTGGGGGTGGAGAACTGGAAGAAATCAAGTGGTAGTCTCCCACCTCCAATTAGTTGATGATACATTTGTTTTTTCTGTAAGGGTGTAGATGTGGAAACAATGAGAAATTTGAAGTTGTTGGTTGATGAAGTTGTGGGACTGACAAACTTGAAAATCAATTTGGGCAAAAGTGGGATTTTAGCATAGTTGTCAAGACGAATAGGCGAGGCTAGGCAACCATAGGGCACCTAGGTGCCTAGGCGGGGTGCCTAGGCGAAGGAATCTATAAATATAAAATTTATAGATTTTTACACTTCCTAAAGGACCTAAACTATTTTGTAAGTTATATTTACTTACTAACTACACATTACACTAAGCATAATCAATAAAATCTTTCATATAAGTGCAATTTTCATGTGAAAACATAAAAGTTGAACATTTGAATTAAAAGAAATAAGCAATCAAACAAGTGGCTGATCAAAAAAATAAGCAATCAAGCAAGTGAAGTGAGAGTAATAAGTCTAACATGGCAACACTAAAAAAGTAAAAACACTTATAATTTAAAAATTTAGTTTCATAAAACCATACCTTTTGGATGATTGAGTGTTGACTTTGAGTATCCTTTTTTCTACAACTTTGCCTTCAATAAGAAAACAAATTAAAAGAATTAATCAATCAGTAGGATATCAATTTTGCCATTAACAAATGGAAGAAGCACTACAACAAAAATAAAAAATTTCATAAGAATGCAATATCAATCCTTTAAGGATTAAAATACATACCTTGGTTGATGCCTGGTAGTTTATGTAGGAACTAGGAAGTAGCCAATTAAGAAATAATAAGATGAAAGTCATGAAACCATTAAAAAATAAAAAAGCATAATAACATATAATGAAGTATAAATCATCATTCATTTCCACAAATCCACAAAAAATTAAATATGAAGTTTAAAACTTTAAATGTGTTATAGGCAATCTTTAAAGAAAACTCTCTATTCTGTAATTAATTGGAGTGTCTAAGAAGTAAAAACCACCAACACCTCCATTGAATGCACCAACATCATTAGCACCATAATCAACATCTTCGTCCTCGTCATCATCACTATCATCGTCATCATCATGATCATCTTAAACTTCAATATCTTCTTCTTTATCTTCATTATCTTCCATATCTTTGTCCCACATCAAGTCTTCTTCTTCTTGAACAACATTTTTGCCTTTATCTTGTCTTCCAGACTTGCCTCTCCCATGACCACCTCCACCTCCACCTGTACCTGTACCTCTACTTGCACCCCCACTTGCATTTCCATGTCCATGTCCACGTCCACTTCTCCTTGGCCTATTTTACCCTTAAAGGATTTCAGATGCCCCTAATTCTTCATCAAGTTGAGTCCATGTAAAATCACACCCTTCATAGACCAAGTCATTTGAGGGATCTTTCCCAATCAAGTAGTCAACCATTCACTAGTTTCATCTTCATCCTCAAAGCAGATAGGGTCAATTTGCTTTGGATTTGCATGCCTCGTTGTAAATCTTTCTCGGAGGCATTGGTTGTATTGAACAAATACAAGATCATTGAGCCTCTTTTGGTCAAGCCTATTCCTCTTTTTTTGTATGAATCTACATTCACAACAAAATAAGAAAAACTATAAAAATAAGTATTTTAACTTTCATAAATAATTTTTTCACAAAACCAACCATTAGGTCCATTACTTAGAAATTACATGCTCAAAAGTGCTCCAATTGTGCTCACAAGCAGAAGAAGCGCATGTAAGACCTAATATGCGTAATGCAATACGCCTAAGGTCTGGGGTGCAATGTCCATAGCTATGCCACCAATCAGCTACAAAATAGAAAAAAAAGAATTAAGACAATATAAATTTAAAATAACAAGAATAAAATATAAA